CATGTTGAATTTGGTTATGGTTTTCCTCATTTTTGGTCAATAGTTAGAGTTTCTGCATTATCTTCTTTGACTTTACATAAGTTCTGCTGTATTTTAAATTCCCTTCCCGCATATTTATTGTCTTGTTTGAGCCGCCTTGTATCCATGATTTTCTTGGACCTAGGGTGTTTTACATTCTTTAGTTTCACTCTTATCGACAAAACAACAGGATTTTGACGGAGGATATGTCCACTCCTGGATAAATTTTGGATGATATTATAGAATTTCTATACCTTCTGTTGACAATAATATATAAGCCATTCGATTTCTGACTACTTTGTTGTTATTATCAGCTGGTGACCTTCATGGGTACTCTACATTTAGGAAGGTTGAACAAGGTATTTGCAATTATGCGTTTCTCATTGATACAGAAATTGACCAGCCTATAGCCACGTTTATTCCTCTCCCCGACTCCTTATCGTCCCACACAATTCTCGACTTCCCCTTGTCCCTTTTTAGCGTTTAAATTTCCGATTATAATATTTATATCATGTCTTTTGTCAGCTTTAAGACATTGCCAATTTCTTCATAGAAGTTATCCATGGTGTCTTCATTCTTGTCTGCAGTGGGTGTACATACTTGGAATATTTATATTTAGTTTACGTTTTAAATGAGAGTTGAGAGAGCAATAATAATCGATCAGAATAGGGAACAAAATGCGAACTGAACAATAAACAATTAACTTTAATGAAAAAATACATTGTTCCATTTCTGGTGGTACATTTTCCTGTTTCAGACAACTGTATATCGCTATAAGGGTGGGTTTTAGGGTAAAACCCAAGGGTAGGAGTGGCAAACTTTTTTTTAATCTTTTTTGGGGTCCAAAGCTGACATTATCATCAATATTTACCTTATTCGTCTTGTTTTTAGAGGTCAAATCTCTGACAACTTGACTAAAAAGTGATTAGAAATCATCGTGTTATAGTAATTTGCGTAACAAGTTCCGAAAGTGATATTTTACGAGACTAGTAGGAAATTTCAGGAAGACTCGCCTACGGCGAGTCTTGCAATCCTGCGAATCTCGTAAAATTACTTTTGGATCGTGTTACGTACAATATTTTTTCTGCAGCCGTTTGTATGTTAAAAAGAATATAAAATTTACTTATGAACTTTTATTAAACAGGAAAAGACAGTTAAGATTAGATTTCATATATATAGTGCGTCTGTGTATCCGTTTATACGTATATCGGCCTAATAGGCTTCGTCAGAACGGCAATTCACAGTCGTTCTGAACGTGAAAATAAGTCTCTTCTTTTCACTCATCATTTTACATATCTAATAACATCTTTATCAATGTCTGTTTTGCCTTGCAATTTTTAGAAGGGACAGATTAAAGCAAAAATCTGAATTTGGTTTCGAAAATTATTTCAAAGATTTAATATCAGATGTCGCTATTTGCGTCCATTCGAAGCCATGTTAAAGTTGCTTCCGAAGACAGAAGATATTAAACAAAATTATAACAAAAAGAGAAATCAAACGATTTCTACCTGGCGAAATCGAATTCAAATCTTGACCACCGTGCTTTCTAAAACTTGCAAAGCAAACAGCTTGATAAATAACTCGACAAGGGAATCTAAGATTGCATTCCACATGCCGTTTATCATGTTCAGAATACGTAGTGAATTCAATTTCTAAAATAAAATATGAAGACGGTACTGATTTAATAGACTATTGATTTCTCTTTTTGTTACTACGAGAATGGATTGATATAAAACTAGCCTTTGATAGAAAAAATAGGTTTTTTGGAATTAAATCTATTTATTTCTGAACATAGTCCCCTTTTAGCTCGATACACTTAGTAAGACGATGTTCCAATTTTTTTATCCCATCCGAATAGTACTTTTGCTGGAGCTCTTCAAAATAGGCCGAAGTTTCAGCGATGGCTTCATCATTTGTTGCGAAACGGAGTCCGCCATTTTTTTTGGTTTGGAAACAGGAAAAAATCGCTGGCGGCAAGATCTGTGGAATACGGTGGGTATTCAACCAATTCATAGCCCAATTCGTGTAATTTTACCATGGCGACGGCCGATCGGTGAGCCGGTGCATTGTTTTGGGGAAAGAGCACTATTTGGCGTTCAAAACCGGGGCATTTTGGACGCAACTCGTTACCGAATCGATCCAATAATGCTGCGTAGTACTCACCATTGATTGTTTTTCCTTTTTCCAAATAGTCGATGTGGACAATGCTCTTCGCATTCCAGAAAACAGTCGCCATCACTTTGCTGGCCGAATTTGCACTCTTTGCCTCGTTTGGCAGTCCCTCGCTGCGTTTCCACCACTGTTTCTACTGTTTTTTGGTTTCTGATGTGTAATAATGCACCCCGATTTTATCAACGGTAATAAATCGGCGAAAAAAATCCTTTATATCGCGCCGTATCACCGCCAAAAGCGTCTCCGAAGTGGTCACACGTTTTTCCATTGGATCGATTTTCAGCAAACGCGGCACCCATCGCGTGGATAGCTTTTTCATGCCCAAATGATGGTGAATGATGTGTACGCGTTCGTAGGAAATGTTTAGGACCTCTATTAACTCGCGGAGCTTAATTCGACGATCTGCCATAGTCATGTCATGAACTTTGTTGACCATTTCCGGCGTGGTGACTTCATTTGGCCTCCCGGAACCATAAACCTCCCACCATAAACTTCGTCCAGGTCGGCTTTGATTTGCACATTCGTTTTACCCTTTTTGTGGAGGAACTTAATCACCAAACGATACTCGACTTTTTCCATTTCCCCGAAAACACAAAATTTGCTTACTTTTGACGGCTGTAAAACCAAACTAATTGTTTTTAAAACTTAAAATTTTGACAGACGTCATGTCATGAATGGCAAATGTCAACACCGAAACCGATTCGGTATCAAGTAGCGCCATCTATCAAAGGCTAGTTTAATATCAATATATCCCCGTAGATGGCGTAGTTACGTCCGTATATAGTTATTTTATAACTATTGTCTAAGAAGGGAAAAGATTTTGTTTCGATCCAGAGAGGTGGCTATACCGCTCTGACGAGATCTAAAGAGGTCGAAACACGTATAAGCGGCTTGCCGCCGCTCTGTATTGAAACAAAAATCTAATACCGTCTTTATATTTTAAAATTATAACAATTATTTACAAGGATATTGTTAGGAATATTAACAGAAGTGGTAGTATTGAAATTAGTGTTTGTATGTGTCAGTACTTTGACTACTTTTTGAGATATGACAAGCGTTGTCATATTAAAATACAAAGTTGATGTTATTGTCAAATCGTCTTGAAAATGAAAAAAAAATAGTCCCGAACGTACAGTATTGGGCGAATTAATGGAATCATAGGCTGTTTTAATGAAAAAATAGTTTATTTAGTAAAAGATTATATTTTGACAAAACTATAAAGGTAAACTTACATCATTCAGTAGGAAATATGTCCTCCTTTGGCAGCAATTACTGCTTTTACCCGTTTTGGCATAGATTCTATGAGTTTCTGGCAGTTGTCAGATATCCTTTCATCTCAATACCAAACCTGAATGGCCGCTTGTATCATTTTTGTTTTAGTGGTACAGTCGATTTTTCACAGTATAGCTTTGCAAATGGCCCATAAATTTTCAATGCATTACTGCAAAACATTAATCTTATTTTTGAAAAATGCCATCATTTCCTTTGATTTGTGACAGAGAGCAGAGTCCTGTTGAAGAATCGCTCCTCCTTGGGGTTGACATTTTTGGAGTTGTTTGTCCAAATACTTTTCCAACATGGATTTGTATTTTTGGCTGTTCATCATGCCTTCAATTGGCACCAAAGATCCAACCCCCATGTATGAAAAAAATTCCCCAAAACATTTTCTTGACTGGATGTTTTACGGTTTGATCAATATGAGATGGTGTAAGCTTTTCATTGTCAGACTTCCTGACGAATTTCGACCGCTGTCCCTGAACTATAAAGTGGGTTTCATCTGTAAATAGGACTTTTTTCCAGTCGCCTACAGTCCAATTAGAGTATTTTTTGGCCCACAGTAGCCATTTGTTTCTTCATTCGTTCAGTTAGAAGCTGTTTTTTCTGTGGACGAATTGCCCTTCTACCATTCTCCAAAAGTCTTCTACGAACAGTTGAGTCATGAATTACTATAGCTGATGCAGCTAGATCTTGTTGTAGGTCTTGGCTTGATTTTCTTGGGTCCAATTTGCTCTTTCGAAGTAAAAATCTATCATCTGCTGGTGTTGTTTTTCTCTTTCTTCCACATTTTCCGAACCTTTTCGCATCCACTGATCCGGTTTCTCGTTTACGCTTCAAAATTTTGCTTACTACCCCCTGACTCACTCCACACGTTCTAGCAATCTCTCTTTGTGACATACTAGTGTGTTCACTCAACGTGACAATCTTTTCACGCTTCCTAGCCGTAATATCCATGTTGGAATAACAATATTGTTGGAACAACAATATTTTAAATTGGAATGGAAACACAACACAAAATAGTACAAAAACCCCCAAAGCAACACAAGCTTGGTAAGAAATGACCTAAAACACACTCAAACACAACAACACACAGTAAGGTTATGTTTTCAATGCTTGGTCAGCTGTCAACTGTGTAGGTAGTGTTGCCAACTGTGAATATTGAAAAAATGAAAAAAAATTCACAGTGATTCCATTAATTCGCACAATTCTGTAGCTACTTTCGGTAGGAGTTGTGTAAAATGGTACTTTCGATTTAATAAATCATAGCGAAAGTTTTATTTTCGGGACGGCCGCAGAAAAAACACATAAATTTTACGAGCTATGTTAATAGGTTAAAAGTAATATGAATTACATAATTTTCTTTGAAAAATAAAGGATGTTTATTTTAAATAATTTATACTAAAACGTTTAGTTAATTCATGTGTATATGTCTAACAAATTCAAACACAAAATCTCACAATATTCTCGATACCTTTGCATATTATACCCATAAAGACTCGGAGACAACACAGATCAACAGATATCGAGAAATTTCAATAACAATATTCATTATCAAACCTTAATTTACCTGTAAAAACGTGCAACGGTATACTACTACTGTTTTTAAAAAAGGGAGTCTCGTTCTCCAGCTCCTCCTTAATGCGAAGGAAATGATTATTGGAGGCATTTTGCAGTACAGCCTCATCCGTCGTTCCCTCGTTATCGCTACAGCTATCGTTAAAAAACGGCGTTGAACGGGGACCTAGAAAAAAATGTCTCATTAAAATCGTACAGTGATTGTCACACATTTTTATAAATGAATTTTATATCATATTCAGTCTGTTTCATCATTTTTTGCAAATTTGAAATTTAAAACTACATTTGAATTATAATTAAATACAAGTAATAAATATTTAAACGCTAAAAATGCATGACATGAAAAAAGTATTCTTGACTGTCTAGTTGACAACCTAGTAATCTAGGTTCAAAATTGTCGAGTCTTTTTTTTGTAACCAAAATGCACTCTTTCTGTTTGCTAAACTTTAGGAAAATTAATTTTTCTTATCAGAGCATCAAATCGGAATTATAAACTGGTTACGATCAGTAAACATCAATAATTCGAAAAACATAAAAAACAGAAAAATAAATTACCTACTCCTATTACTCAGACAAAAGTTTGGATTTAAAACTGGAAAAAGCATTTATAATTTAGAATCTTCATCGTTAAAAACTCAATAGTTAACTCAGGATTCAATCTTCATTGGATGAGGCCTCTTCAGTGCTAGATCTATTATGATTAGTATTTTCTCTTCGTCTTATGTGATAAACTTTGCCTATTTCAATCAATTTTTGTGTGTGCTTTATACAATTAGTTCAATTTTTAGGTGTTACTTCAGTTAGACTATCGTTCCGTACTTTTTTAACTGCTGTATCTACATGTACAAACTCTATCGAATTGTACTGATAGTAAGATCTGATGCCCATGTCCTTGCAGTGTTTGTCTATAACGTACTCGACGTTTTGTGGCTTCTTCATATGACAAAGATGGAATCTTTTTCAAAAGTTATATTTTTTACTTGTATATATATATATATATATATATATATATATATATATATATATATATATATATATATATATAAGCGATCTATCTCTTATTATGTGTCGTACATTTTCTTCCCAGGCAACTGAAGGTATTTCCCCTCTTCTTCTTTGTTGTGGTATGTAATTTAAAGCTTTCTTTAGCCATCTATCTTCATTTATTCGCTTCACGTGGCCATACCACACTAGTTGTCTCGTTTTAATTCTGTCTACACTGGAATATACAGTATTTGTCCTCCTTATAATACCTTCATTCCTGATATGATTTTTTTTTTTGGATAAACCACACGCTCTCCTTAGAAAATCCATTTCTACTACTTCTATTATTTTTCTATCTTTTTTCCTGATCTGCCAAACTTCTGCCCCATAAGCCATAATAGGCTCTACCAAGGTTCGATACATTGTCAATTTCGTTTCTTGTCTAATATTTTTAGACCATAGTCGAGAGTTTAGAATGTTAACCGCATTTTTTCCCTGCTGCGTTTTGTTTTTGATGTCTCTTTTGGTAGTGCCTTCTTTAGATATTATAGATCCGAGATATTTATATTCATTGCATGTTTTTGTGTTTCTAATTTCTAACTCTGGATCTTCTTCATCATCTCCTATTTTAAGATAATCTGTCTTTGACATATTCATTTATTGACTCATTTATTGGCCCCATTTTTCATATTCTTTTTTTACTTTTCTAAACATGTAGTCCATGTCTTCCTCATCATTCGACTCAACTACGACTACCTGATTATCTGCGAAAAATAAAGTGGTTAGACATTTACCATCGCCTATGTCTATTCCCATTCCGGATACTTGTTTCCTCCACTGCTCTATTGATGATTGAATATATATTTTAAATAAGGTCGGAGATAGACAACATCTTTGTTTAATCCCCTTTGTTATTGGAAATGATTTAGATATAAAGTTTTCGTTTTTAACGACACTTCTTGCTTTTTTATATATATTTGCGATAGCATCCACATACTCTCTATTGAGACCTACTTTCGTCAATGTTTGAGACAGTTTTTTCAAAGTTACCGTATCGTATGCCTTTTCTAAATCTACAAACAACAGGTGGGTAGATAGATTCCTTGCCTTCCGTTTTTCGATTACCTGCTGCAGAACGAACCTGAAATAACAGTTATTCCCCTATAATTAGAGCATTTGCGTTTATCCTCTTTCTTGAATATTGAGCTGATGTATACAATATTCCAATCATCAGGGATATTTTGTCCTTTTAAGCATTTGTTACATATTTGAACCAACACCTTATGTGATATTTTTGGTCCATACTTTCCAGGTCAATTGAAATGTCTCCAGGTCCTACTGCTTTACCATTTTTCGATCTTTTGAGGGCATCGTTTAACTCTCCGGTTGTTATCTAAATTATTTGTGTGTGTGTGTGTGTGTTCGGATATTTCTTCCATTTCGATCTCTTGGAATTTACATCTATCCTCTGTCAGTAAGACCTCATAATATCGTTTCCACTGTTTCAGATCTATTAACTGTAAGTTCCCCTTCCCTCTGGAGAGACTTTATCAGCTTCAAAACTTACCCAACTCTTGTTCCACCCATATACCTATCTACCTCTGAACCTCTTCCATCCCACATCTCCTTTTTACTTTTCACTACTTCGCTTTTTACATCTGGATTTAATTTTTGATATATCTTGTAATCTTCCTCCTTTCTCGTTGACATCAATTTCTGCTAAGCAGTTTTCTTCTTGTTGACTAACGTTTGCATATTCTCCGACCATCATTCTTAATTTTTTGTTTCATGTTTGTCTTTATAATCCAAAGCTTCACCTGCAGCCTCATGAATGTACTTTTTAAATTGCTGGTGTAATTCTTCCGCTAATATATTTTCTCGATCCACATTGTGTAATTTTGTGGCCAGTCGTAATTTATAAAGAAATTTTGTTGAATCGTCTTTTAAACTTTCTAGAACATATTTAGTTAATGTTACCTTCTTCTCACTTTTCTATATTCTGTACCTGAGTGTTATTGTTTTTGCGATAGTTAACTATCACGTTGGCCATAAGTAAACGATGGTGGGATCCACACTCTGATTAACGGTATACCCTTACGTCAGTTATTTTCTGCTGGGAAGTTTGACGTTGGATTACATTGTGGATTATCGAGCGCAGATTCCTAGTAGGTTGTATCCATGTAAATTTGTGGATGTCTCTCTATTTTTTACTTGTAACCATTCTTTCGAGTGGGATTTTGTCCAAAAAGGTTAAGGCCATTTTCTACGCCTGTATACTGTTATGTATAATTTTCCTTTTTGATTTTTCCATGTCTTTCCGGCCTGGTTTCCTGAATTCCTGCAATATATATCTTGTATTGTTTTAACTTTGTCGAAAGTTCTTCCATTTTTCCTGTTTCCAGCAGCGTGCTCACGTTCCATATTCCAATGTTTTTGCCATTCTCTTAATTCTCTATCTTTTTTGTATTTTTTTATTTTTCTAAATATACCTTGAATCATTTTCCTCTTGTCTTCCGTTTGAACAATGGTAAACTTATTTAAAAATCGTTTAGATATAAATAATAAAAAAACGTAATTATTTTTTAAACAACCTTGTATATTATTGAGTAAATATATTGTACTATTTAAATATAACGTATTTAGGTATTACTTGCACATGTAAAAATTTAAAATACTCCGCCTATGGTTATTCTCTAGACTATATTACAAAATATTGTTCGTGGACTTAAAACAAAAGACAAAGGATTACAATACTTACTTTGTTCCTCCTCTTTGACATTGACTTTCTTTTCATCGTTTTCCAGGTCCTTGCCCCCTTTGTTATCCTGTTTGGCTTTCTTTTGCATTTTCTTCATTTTGGCGCGTTGATTTTGAAACCATACCTGCAAAGAAACCCTGGTTTAATTCCAGATTGGCAGAGACACTCGTGAAGGGGAATATATATCAATTTAAAAATATTTAAATATAAAAATAAGTTGTTTTCAAGATAGGTTTTTCTTGATAGGTCTTTCTTTTTCTTCGTTGTCTCTATTATAAAGAAAATTTGGATATTTTATTTCATGTCTTAATATATAAGATTTTAAAATATTAAAAAGTATAATTAAATTGAGATAAATAAATAAAAAATAAAAGCAACATTATTATACCTAAATTCTGAAATCAATTCTTGATTCTCTTTTAATTAATCTAAAAATTAAAAAAAAAGACAACTACCTTTATTAGCGGTAGGTACTTGACGGTCAAGTCCTGACCTGTGTCACTAGCTGTGTAGGATTCAGGAATAGGTGAATATCATTTTTGAAATACAAAATCCATCTGCATAAGCGTTCACGGTTGCCATGGCAACGTGACGTCAGCCTATCCTTAGTGACAGCTGAGAAAACTGGCGAGTGAAGTTCCGCCTCCGCCAAAAAATATATTATCCGTCTTCACCCACTGTTGGATGTGTATTTGTATTTACTATTTTTTGGAAATTTCTCTCAGCGATAATATTTTGAAATTTAGTCCATTATATAGATATTATTTATATGGTATAGTGTCTAGTATAGTATTTATTAGTTTAGTTGAGTCACAGTATTCAGTTTATTTATTTAGTGCACTTTATTAATACATTTCTCTGTTGTTTGTTTCGGATTTCGAATATAAAGTGTTCTCGTGGATTTCGTTTGGATAAAAATAATTTTAGACAAACATGAATTCAATTAATGACTTGGTGTGTAATATATTAGAGACTCCGTTTAGGCATTAGAAAAATGAAGATGAAAGGGATGTTCTTTTACATGGTCGACCAACCAGTATTTTAAACATCTGCGTCTGATCCAGAGTGGTCGGCTGCAATCAGCATCTGACCCAGAGTGGGCGGCTGAATCGAAACTAACTATCCCGGTTTAGCAGGCGTGGTGTTTTAATTGCCAAAAATCATCAATGAAATGTCAAGGTTCAGAACTAAAATGCCCCAGGCAAACAGAACGAATCGTATCTAGTATAAGTGCCCTAAAAAACTGTTTTCAAGTTATTAGGGCCCTAAACTCTATACATTTTTTTAACGAATTTTTAATGAGATTTGGGCGTGAAGTAGGTACCAAAACTCCTTTTGGCTTCGGCAAGCTTTCAAGCTTTCCTCATCTTCACCACTTTTTTAGGCCACGAGCCATCGCTATTTTAAGGATAGATTATGGGACGATTATGTTTAAAATTATTTTATGGATAACATGAAAAAGGATGTAACATAATACTGAATTTCTGAATATGGAAAATTTAGTAACTTCATTTCAGGAAATGAAGTTACATGGGCAGTACAAACCGCAAAAAATGGAAAAGCACTTGGCCCAGATGAAGTTAGTGCTGAAATACTAAAGTTTTTTTCAAGTGTTGAAATACAGCACTTGAAGAATTTGCGACACTCGGGTATTACCAACTGACTGGCTCAAGTCGACAATCATCGTCATACCAACATTATCCATATCGATTGGTCAGATGGCTATCTGGATGGTGATTTGCTAACATTTTAGTGAGTTTATATCGAATATAAGATAAATATATTGAAGCTTATAAGGGGAATTTTGGGGTAGGTACACGAAATACACGCTAAATACTTGTTACTGTAAATTTTATTGAGATTAAAACATTAAAGTTGACAAAAAAATAAAAGTCAACGCGGGGATGCTTCTTCGTTGTCTTGTTCTTTCAGCTGAATCTCTCGGGGGGCTTCGTGTCGGCTCGAGCAGTCGGCACAGCCACTGAGATTATAGTAAGGGATATTAGTGGGTACATAGTACGAGGGATTACAGGTTAATATACAGGTGGCTGTTATAAGCTGATATTTTAGAGAATACTTTAAGCAAATTATAAAGCTAATTCCAAAATTGTTTTGGACAATCAATCCACCGTACCATTTAAGAAGATCTAAAAAATTGCCTACAATTGCTTAAAAATATATATAAATAAGGCTTTAGCTTTGGGAGAGCTATTAGTTTGATCTATTAGTTTGTCTATTATTTTAAGGAGAAAGTAGGTCAGTTCTATCGCTGGGTCGGCTGTCTTTGGGACCTTTCACCGTTCTTTTTGGTACATGTCCTAACTTATGACTATCTATGCAAGCGGCTGTATCTATTTGGAAACCTTTTGGAAAAATTCCATGCTTAAAATTTAGGTAGATTAAAACTTTCACATTTTATATGTTTATTACAAATAAATTTTCCAGCAGGGATATTATTGGTTTCATTAGTTTAAAAGTGTAGAAAAATAAGTATTCAATTAAAAACGAAACCACAAAATGACAAATATTAAAGTGCAAAAACATACCTGGACTATCCGAACACTTAATCCAGTGTCTTTGGCTAAATTTTCTCTGACTTTTCTACAAGGTTTCGGACTGACTTCAAATGAAGCTTTGAAGGCTCTTCTTTGTTGAGTAGTTAATATAGTTCTAGGTCTCTTGGGTCCTCTTCTGCCATCTTGGGATCTGCTGGACTGCAGAAGATCGTCGCATATAAATTCGCCTGTAAAAATAAAGTAGACTAAAAATTTTTTCATGTAAATATTACAGAGAAATAATAAACCCCACTGAATACTTAGCTATAAAGTACTACCTTAATTAAAATACTAACAAATAATGTAGCGGCACTCTACGTGTCTCTACATCATCGGAAACAAGGAATTATTAATAACTCAGTGTTACTAACTCACTTTGAAAACTGCAGAGTAAGAAGTCGTGTCAATCTTGACATTGATTTAGTGGACACGTAATTATATATAAAATTGATATAATTGATGATAAATTTAGAATTATCGGGACAGGTCGACGTCACGACCTAGACAATATAATATCGTCGGGTTACAAGCAAAGTCGCAAAACGCAAAACGGGTTACAAGCAAAGTCAAAATAGTGGCTTTTGAGTTACTGCAGTTTTAAATTTGACTTATCATGTTATTTGTAATTTATAGAGTTAGTTTTTTAATAAAATCTCCGCTCTGTGTATCTTAACACTGTTTTAAGACAATCTTTTATTAAAAAAATAATAAATTTAATAAAGGAAGAACTATAATAAACTAGTTTTTGTTAACCTCGGAATGACTTAATGTGTTTGATCTGAAACTAAAAATTAATGTATTTTGTTGACTTATCCGTACTTTAAATTTTGATCTTATAGAAAGTACTTAAATAACCTCATAGAAAATTAGTAAAAAAAATTAAAAAACCATTTTTTATTAAGTAAAATTGGACAGTACAAAAATTATTTCAAATGTTGATATTTTAATTTACACTATCTCTTCATGATGATTCGGCTGCATTGTCTCTTACTAAGGTTGAAGTTGGTAGACTCTCATACCAACAGTAAAGAGCAGAAGGTACAATTTTTTTACAAACTTTCACCAAGTTCCTTTTTTTAACAACTAGAGGAATCATAAGATTTCCCACAAGGCTAAACTGAATTCAAATCTTTACCACTGTGCTTTCTACAACTTGCAAAGCAGACAGATTGATGATTTAGTCGGAAAAAGAATCTAAAATTTGCATTCCACATGCCGTTCATCATGGTCAAGATTCGTAGTAAATTCAGTTTCTAGTACTCCAAACAGAGTAAAGAAATATAACATAATGACGGTATTAGATTTTTATTTCGATGTAGGGCAGCGGCAAGCCGCTTATACGAATTTCAACCTCTTTAGGTTTCATCAGAGCGACATATGCTACTGTTCTGAATCGAAATAAAATCTATTCCGTTGTAGGACAATAATTATGGAAATTATTATTTACAGACGTAACAACTCCATCTAATATCAACAAGAGAAATCATAATATTTCCTATAAGGCGAAACTGGATTCAAATCTTTACCACTGTGCTTTCTACAACTTGCAAAGCAGACAGATTATGTTTCCTTGTTTTTGTTTCATAAATTGGCAACTGCTTAGTGTAGCAGTTTAATACTGATACAATTACTACTAATAATCAAGATATAATTTGTCTTCAGAAAACTGATTTCAAAAATGAAAAAATACAAAAATTTAAATCAGTTTAAAAATACTGCAAAAATCGAACTAGCCAAGAAAAAGCCAGTGACAGAGTAGCTATGTTTGTAAAGAAGTCAATTGAAACCACTAGTAATCTAGAAACAATTTGCATTAAACTTAACTCCAAAGTTCAAATATCTAAGTTTGTAACTTATATCTTCATCAACGCAAGTAGACTCAGAAGTATTATCTAAACTCTTACAACAAATTTCCCAACCCAGACTTATTTTGGGCGATTTTAATGTCCACAGCTTTTTATGGGGCTCTTCTACTATAAATAATAGGGTAAGACTGCTGGAAGAGATATTTGCACAGTCCAACCTTTCAGTCTTAAACTTCGGCAGGCCCACTAGATTTATTATACAGAACGGTGAATCTTCATGTCTAGACCTTACGATATACGAACCAGGTCTGACCCCACAGCTCACATGGGATAGGCTCGACTTCTTATACAATGGTGATCAATATCTACTTTTTATTCATAATAACAAAAACCGATGTGAATAGACATTTACTCCAAAATGGAATTAAAAAAACCCTAACTATAATAAATTTAATCGAAAGCAGTATGACCACATTTAAAAGCACTTCAAATATAGACGAGACATTGAAGAACTTTATTACCATTATCATAAAAGCAGCAAAAAGAGCAATAGGAAAGACATGCATAAAACAACGCATACCTATTCCATGCTGGAATTTTGAATGCAAAACAGCAGTCGATCTAAAAAAGGAGCTATTAACAAACACAAGTGCTACAAAACTGTTGAGAATAAAATTGAATACACAAAACAACGTGCTATAGCCAAGAAGACAACTAGAAATGCCAAACGCCACTCATGGACTCAATATGTGTCAACGTTAAATGCAAACACTTCCATAGTTGGATCTGAATTAAATTGCAATCAAAATCTCAAAGGCCTTAAGAAAAATGGAAAGGCAATGACTACTAAAATCCTTTCTAACACATACAAAAACTGATGCAGTAATATTACTTATAAAAAATATTTCAGTAATTACAAACTGCAAGAAAAAAATAAGAAAATTAGCATTATACCTAACACAGATAAACCGTTAAATTTACCCACTTCTTGATTAGAGTATACAGAAGCATTGTCAAATCTCAAGAAACCAGCGCTGACCCGGACGATATTCCTAGTATTTTTATCAAACACCTGCCAGTTAGCGCTTACAAACAACTTTAAGATCTGTTTTATATTATTTGACTATAGCAAAATTTGCTATACACTCAACACTTGGTTTTAGTGCATAAGAACTTAATTTTTGCAAATAAAACGTAAAATAGAAGGCAGACGCGGACCGGGTAGATAACAAATGACCTGGCTGCGCAACATCAAAGATTGGACAGTATTAGACTTTCAAACGAATAAGAAATGAAATAGTTTTACATCGAATGAAAAAAAGCACAGAAATAACAAAAATGATAACAATTCGAAAGTTACAATATTTCGGTCATATAATGAGACATCCAGAGAGGTATAACCTTCTACACCTCATAATACAGGGTAAGATCGACGGAAGGAGAGGCCCAGGCCGACGAAGAACATCCTGGCTACGAAATCTCCGATAATGGTATCAAGAAACCACCTTTAATTTATTTAGAGCCGCCGTAAATAAGGTTATTATTGCCAATATGATCGCCAATGTTCGATAATCGGACAGGGCACTGAAAGAAGAAAAAGAGACTTTCAAAGTTTAATAAGGAAAGCTCAAAATAGGGAAGACTTTGTAGAGGTCATCGCCAATCTTTGCTAAGAAGACGGCACCCAAAGAAGAAGAAGAAAACTGAAACAAGAATCTAATACTTTGCGAAATACACCAATATATCTTGCTCGTTATTCCGCCAATACGAAAATAAATTACATACAAGCTATGAACATGACATTCTAAAAAGTACACTAACTCCTGATAGATAATTAAATTTTTTTAACACAATTAATAAATATAAACCTTTAAGACCTTTGTAAAAATTCAGTTATATTTATTCAGCTTCGAACTTACAAAGATTTTCTTTTTCCTTTACATTGGCATCTATTTTTTTCATATTATTTTTTTACCTTTGAACATGACTTGTAACAGTTTTTCTAGAACATGCTCTAGAAAACTCGTTTAGGTGAATAAATCAGACGTTCTTCGATTAACTAAACTTAAGTAACTTAAAAAATACAAAGTATTCACAAATTATCGTTTACAATAAATCGTCACGGACAATCACCTTTTAAAATTCTACTGGTACTAAGTACTACATATTAAAAATATATATATATATATATATATATATATATATACTTACCATATCCAAATCCTTGCATCATCTCTACTTCCTTCTCGTAATCAGTCCTACAGAATAGCTGCCCTTGTTTGATGACATAGAGGTCCCCTTTTTGCAGTCTGATGCCACAAACGACACACACAAAGCATCTGAGGTGGAAAATATTATCGCTAGCTCGCATTACCAATTCTTCGGGTGATACTCGTTCTGAGCAACCAAGGCATTTCTTTACAAAGAGTCTGGAACAAAGTAAAATTTATGTTTAGAATTGTATGTGTTAACTAATTTTAAAGATAAAGATAGCTAAACAAACAAACAAACAAACTTTTCTGTTGGCCTTGCGCCCTGCATTTTTCTATCAAGGGCTCTTTTTGGCAATCTTCTGTTCTTCATTCTCACTATATGACCAGCCCATCGAAGTCTCTGAAGTTTAATGATTTCTGAGATCGATACCTCTTTGAACAATTGGTAGAGTTGAACATGATTGTACCTGGATCTCTATACTCCGTTTTCGTTAATAGGTCCAAAGGATCTTCTTTCTTGGGAGTTTTCGTTCGAAGAATTTTAACTTTCGTTTTGTGTCTTCTGTTATCACAAAAGCCTCGTATCCATAGCATATTATTGGTCTGATAATAGTTTTATAGACACTGATTTTCGATTTCCAGTGTGTGTTTTTGGAGCGGAACACATGGGCGAGTGAAAAGTAAGCTTTGTTTCTCTATACTATTCTTCTTTGAATTTCTGGTTTTTCTGGTTTTCTGGTTTTTCAAACACAAGCATTTGATAGAGTATGCAGGCCCAGACTGTGGAGAGTGATGCAGGAACTTAGCTTTCCAAAAAAACTAGTCAGGTTGACACAGATGTGTATGGAACGGTTACGATGTAAGGTGAGAGTTGGACAACAATACTCGGAGACATTTGAAATAATCAATGGACTAAAACAGGGAGATGCACTTTCACCACAGCTCTTTAACTTAGCTCTGGAGTACATAATCAGAAGTGCAAGAATCGAAAAACCGAATACAGTATTTCATCGTGGAGGACCAAACTTACTACTGGAATTTGCAGAAGGAAGCGGAGAAATTGGGGCTCCAAATCAACGAAAACAAGACGAAATATATGTATATAAGCCGTAATAACCAAAGCAGAGACATAATCGGTCAGAACATCATCATCGTTGACTTTAACTTTGTGCGCGTCAGAGAATTCAAGTATCTTGGAACAACAATAACTGTAGGCAATAACGGATCACAAGAAATAAACAACAAGATTCAGACCGGCAACAGATATCTTTTTGTTCTCCAAAACCTTATAAAATCGAAACAACTAACAAGACGGACGAAGATACAGGTCTATAAAACCATCATACGACCCGTTGTGATGTATGGAAGCAAAACGTGGACGATAACAAGGGCAAACGAAGAGAGACTATGTGTTTGGAAAAGAAAAATCCTAAGGAAGATCTTTGGTCCTGTGCTGAATGAAGCATCAGGCCAATATAGGATAAGAACTAACAAAGAGCTCGAAAAACTCTACCCAGACGCCAACATCATAAAAGAAATAAAGTCCAGAAGACTCCAATGGGAGGACACCTCAGAAGACATTCTGACGAACGAATAGTAATACTGGTGTGGGAGGAAGTCCGAACTGGAAGGCGGACGCCCTCGTCTCCGATGGCGAGATAATATAGCAGGAGACCTAAGCACTATGGGCGTGGAGAATTGGATGGAGGTTGCTCAAGATAGGCATGGAGGCATGTTGTCGAGTCGGCTAAAACCCATGAAGGGTTGTAACGCCACGGAGTAGTAGTAGTAATTTCTTGTTCAGTGTTAGATTTAGTTTTAGATAGAATAGATCTCAATGTGTAATTTTTCACCAAGTAACAAAAAACAAAATTTGTTGAACTTATTAATGTTTTTATTTTAAAAACGATTTCCGAAGTGGAAATTGAAACGTCAATAAACTTATGTTAAACTGTAATTGTGGCTTAATCCTATTAAAATAGTAATTGTTTTAAGATGCCACAAGAAAATAGAACAATATTAATGTAATAATCAATATTTGATAATCATTGTAGTGTATTTTTTGTGTACTATATTCATTTTCACACATTTTTAACATATTTTGCCATTTTTTAATGAGTAGCTTCAGATAATGGAAAAAGTATTCTCCGAAAAAATTTGACAAGAGTACGCATAGCGCCCTTTTGTCAGATTAGGCAATATTTCATAAACTACTACTCCATCTAATCAGCAAATATCACCATCCGTTTATTTTATATAAATATAATATTAAAGTATGGCAAGACGATTTTCCACATAATAGTAATAAATTCAAAATAAAAAAGAAAGACGCGCCTTATGTAAACGTAACTTGGGCGAAATTTGTGCCACATTAGCCAACCGCTTACATTAACATAAAAACACCATCGCACGCCTCTGAAAAACAAGCAGTTAGACACACGACCCCGTCGCGACGCACAAATAGCGTCGCAACGTCACACGTGCTGCGGCATCAGCGACGCCACCGCAATATATATTATATATTAAAATATGCACCGGGTCGACGAAACGGCGTTTAATGTGACACCATTAATATCATCGGCCACACTTTTACAACGATCACGCTCAAATGCTCTTAAAATTTGATGTCTCTTTTTTTATAAGTGATGAAAGTTTAGGCAAACTAAGATAGGTTAACAAAAAAAGTCAGCTGTAGATTTGGCGTACAATTCTAAATATTATAATGATCTCAACCAGTTTTTAAAATATTTTTTATTATTTGATATATTGATCATAAAAAGGTAATTACTAAGAATTTCTGGTTACACCAACTAGTTCCTAGTCTATAAACTGTATAGCGATTCTTGATGTCTGATTACTTTTGTACGTCTGTTACTGTTTACTTTTATTGTCTGATGCCTAATAAAACATTGTTTTAAATTTAGCCCTATGTTGTATGAAAGGTCATAATCATCATCATCAGCCTCTCTCAATCTACTGCTGGACATAGGCCTTCCCTTGTCATGTAATAAATTCCTTTTGTAACTTAAACGTCATAGTTGTTAATTTTTAAAAATGTAACTCAAAGTAAATCTAACAACATTATAAGGGTTTTTACCAATATATTTAGTGGCTTCAAAGATGTGATTCAACGTATCAATCACACTTTTTATAATAACTTGGATTAAAATTTTAACTTTCACGTTTTATTTAAATAAAGTGGTTATACTTTTGTAAGATAGCACTGATGATAGAATATCAACCCTGGATGAAATATCAGAATATTTTAATTAAATGGATTAAACAATCGTACGCCAGTTATACGGGTATAAATAAAACTCAAATGATATTAGGGTGTGTGGCCAGACTGCATACAGCGTTGACAAAAATTTACAATCTTTTAGTAAGAATTCTGTTTCTTTTCATGTGTATATCAATTTGATTTGCAATGTATAATTTTAATAAACCCTATTTATAAATATGTCCATATTAAATATAGTTTAATAGCTTTAAAAACTAATTATAATTGTGTATTGTGATTGTGTTTTAAAAATGTCAAAACAGCTGAATAGTCGCTATAGACTGCTAGTGGCTAAATTATACATTTTCATGTGATCTTTTATATTAGTAACGATTAAACATAATCTTGTTTTCCACTTTATTGAAAAGTGAAAAAAAAATTGAAAATGTCAGTATTTTCTTTATTTTAAAAATCCAGTTGACTAGTGTATTCCTTAATAGTTGACATTTTAAAAATTCTTCACATTCTGATGTTTTGACAACGTAGCGGACTTCTCACATTGTTAATCTTAAATGACGTGAAATAATTTTTGTATGAAAAATAAATTTTATATAAATATGAATAATAGTAAATGATAGAATATTTTCCCAAAAGGATATTATGGTATTCATCAGCTTTTAATATTGTAACATTTTTTTTAATATTAATATATCAAATTATTTTTAAATCCTTTTACCCCCGTGCGATACGCCGATGATTAGGAATCCCCGTGTTTACGATAGGAAAATATTATTGTAGACACCAAGCTGAAATGGAATTCCCTAATTAAGAAAGGTTTTTAATCCTTCCGTCTTAATACTCTGTATGAAAAGAACAAATGCTTTCCGGTATGCAGTTTCTTTTTCATAAATTGGTAATATTCGCCGAAGGCCCGTATCTTTTGACAATAATATAATCCTAAGGATTTTAATATTCTCAGGTCCAATTGTTAATACCGATTATTTTACCTCAAACTTTCCAATAGTCGTTAAGGCCTTACCTTCTGAGAAATACATACGACTGTCCGATGATTTTAAGTGGGGGATATACCTTCTTCTTCTTTTTTCTTGGACAGTTGGTGAAATTTTTAGGGAACCAACTTACTTCTCGGTGGGCTCTTGTTGAGTGAAGTGATATCTCGTGATGCGCTTTGCTCACGATATTTCTTATCTTATCGTCGCTGTGAATTATTTTCTAAGTGTGTGTACACTTCATATTTGAGTTTTCTTTCCTTAGACTATATTAAATTATATATAGTTCTACACTACCTTTAATGGTTATTAAATTCAGTGTTTAGTACCAAAAAAGTATTAAATTCAGTGAATTAAGCTGCCTTCGTCAAGATCTACTGTAAGTAATCTTTATCTACAATTATCTGGGCGAGCAATAAGGTATGGTACCATATCACCTGCCATTATCTGGACGTATCAATTATATCTTCACCTGTAGATTGCCGATTTTTGAATGTAATTGAACCATTCAATAATAGTGCGAAATAGTTAATTGACTTAACCAAGTGCGGTTTGGTTTATGTTTTCATTCCTGTAACCTTTTTGTTTTTTTTTGTAAATTTAGAGTTAAGTAATTTTTGCTATCTTGTGTATTTCCTATAATTTTTGTTCATTATCTTTCCTATGATATCTCGAGATACGCCAAACTATATTTGTATATGATTGCCTTATATATCTTGGTAAAGGTATTTTTTTATTACATTATAGCTTAATTTTATACACATATAACACCATTTCATAGTTGTGTATTTTTATTACCTGGGTTGCATTTGGCAGCATCATAATTTTGTGTTTAATATATTGTTATTGTTTTATGCATGTATTTTATTTGTCGGCTCCTATACTACGTTCCACGTTTAGAAAATAACATTGCGGAGATAGGGCCATGTATTTCTTATGGACGATAGCAACGCGGCGTTGCCACGACACACAGAAGTACAATTTAGGGTTGTGTAATTTGTATTTTTGTTTCCACAAACATGAATTAAATTAATGTTTTTTAACGTAATTGACCAAAAGTGCCCATTCGAAACAAGAGATGAAAAGTAGGGAAAATGATTTTAATTAGATAAATAGTATTTACAAAAGATAACTTTATTTTATCTTATTTTAATTATAGTAACGACAGTTTATTTGTTTTTCGGTGAGAATACGATATGCCATGAGTCATAGAAATCAGTAGAAAATATTGACCACTTGGAATGCTATTTTATGTCGTTCTCTGACTACATAATGATAATAAGGCTTTTATTTAGTAGTTATTCTGACTTTACAGTTAAATGTTAATTGAAAATGAAAAATCAAAAATTAAGCAAAGGGAATATCTTGGACATCCGTGCAAAAGAGAGTGTCTGAGAGTTTTGGCAACACTGATCTCCATAAGCGTAATGTTATTTTTTTAACTTGAAACAAAGAATAACAAGTTCCCTGATAAAATAATAGCTCTGAACAATTACTATCTTTAAATATTACTATGCTTTTGAACTGTAGAAAGATCAGGCTGATTAAGTTTCGTAGGTAAGTAAGTGTAATACTTAATATATTTATTATTTGTTTATATATTGCGTTGACCCGATTTATTTGATAATTTACTGTTGGTATCTCTCCTTGGGTTTGATCTCTGAACCTAAATATCTTTTCTTATCTCTTTTCTTTTTTAAGGTTTTCTTAATTTTCTCCTTAACTCCAAAAAATTGAGTGGCGCCCTGTATCTTCTCTTATCTTTGGTAATTTTACCCATCTATCTTTTTGTTTATTTCTGTATCTTTTCTAATATCTCTTATCCTATCTTTACCTATTTCTTCCGTTGGATCCATTCCCGGTTCCAAAAGCTAGTTTCGAACCCACGACTCGCTCTTCACCAACCATCTGGCTGCCGTCCGCAGTGTCTCCATTGGTTATCTTTCTAGCACCACCCAAAAAAGATTTCCGAGGTTACAATATTATTACATCTATTCCTAATACCTATCTGAAACCAGCTTGTTCCATTGTTTGATTTCCATTAAAATTTTGCTGTAATAGTGAATATTTTCGTAACAGATTTATAGAACATTCTTTAAAAGCGTTATTGGTGTTTCTTACCTTACCTGTTTTATCATAGTTATCTTTATGTATTATTCATTAATTTGCAATTCTTTCAATATTTTCTTTTTTTAGATTTATTAATTTTGTTTCCTACTAATACGTACTTGTTTTTGTTCTCTATTCACTTCTTTTTACTTTGTACCCCTACGCATTGAGCATAAATAAAATTTAAATACTGGATGATCATAAAAAAGAAGGACCAGACTTCTTCAAAAACAATTCACCAATTTCTTCAACCTGTTCTTTTACTTATTGCTCCATGTTCACCCCTGACGATTTTTTAAATCATGCCACCCCAGTTATATCTGATCATCTGCACCTGTAGCCTATGTACAGACTACAGAGGGTAGAAAAAATGAGACGATCGCTCGATCCGAACACGTGACGCCTGTAATTGCCATAAGCGTAGCATGAGTAAGAGCTAAATGTTTGAATTTTATTCTTACAGAAATGTATACTTAGCGGGTTTTATAACTATAATTATTTTTGCTAACGACCACAGATTGACTAACAGCGCTAATTTCATTGTTCGATAAATTTTTGTCATGTCTACTACGATAAAATAAATGTTTATGGAATATTTAAGTTCGTATTTAGATACGTTTGATGCAAAAAAATAAAGCAATATGAGAAACTATTAAAGCAAAACTTCTATACGGGATTTATACCAATTTTTCTATTTAGTAAAATGTTAAGACTAGCGTCACGGAAGAAGCGCCAAGAGACAGCGTTACGGGTAGCGTCACGAAATAGCGGTCTTCACCTCGATTTACACTAGACTCGCGATTATCCGAGTCTAGGTTATCCGAGCCCCTCGGTTAACCAAGGCAAAATTTTGCCTTGGTTTTACCTTTATTTACCTTTATAGTCGTACTTGTTGAATCACAATATCGAGTAATAAAAAAAGGGTCGATGGTCAGAAGTTATATCGGCAGCTGTTATATGGGCAATTAATTGAAAATTTTGGATTATTGATAAGAAGAGAATTATTTGTAAGGTATGCTTTGGGTCAAGCTGATGTGAAAGAGATTTCATGCGCAGAAATTTCTGTATGGTGTTTTGTCTACAACTTCCTGTTCCTTTCTATGTTAATCAATGTGAATTGAACTACCGATTTGTTTGCTGTCGTTCAGATCGTCAAATTAAGTATCTGTACGGTAATATTTTTCCTTTTATGTACTGTTTTGTGAATTTATTCCAGTTATTAGTTTCGGTTTCATAATTAATTTTTCATAAGTTGATTTTTGTGAGTGTAAGAGAGAATCTTTTTGTGCAATATGAGTGGAAAGCGGAAGAGAGTTATTGCACCTTTGGAAACAAAAGTGAATACAATTAAGAGGTTGGATAAGGGTGAATCAATAAAGAAGTTTCTTCAGATTTAGGTGTCGGAGAAGTAACTGTTGGATATTGAAAGCGTAAGCGGAATGAACTCGAACAGTGGGTAAACCGAAGTGTGAGTGGTGGTAGTGGATTGGCCCAAAAAGCTTTGTTGTTGTTGGACAACGCACGATTCCACCCATATGCGAGAGAATTGATTAGTGGTGACATACAAGCTGTGTTCCTTCCACCCCATGTAACATCTCTTATCCAACCCTAGACCAAAACGTTATATAAGGAATGAAGAGGAATTATCGGCGGAAGCTTCTTCAGGTACTGCTAACTATAAACTTGATGAAGGGCTGACTGTAATTGAGGCATTGAAGAAGATTACGGTTAAAGATGTTTGCTATTGGATTGCATCTGCCTGGGACGACGTAAAAATGTCCATTACTCAGAAGTTGTGGAAAAAATTATTTAAGATAGACAACAAAACACAAGACGTTCAAAATTAAACTGATGACTGTGAAGTTGATTAGACGTCCTTCATTTTCAACGTTGGCGCAACATCGCCGCCCCAAAAAGAGGAATGAAGTTGAAACACAAATCAATCAAAGACTTTTTTAAAACATTTATAAATTAATTTTTTTTATCTTTTATACTACTTTTATATTAGTTTTTAGTTATTAAAATAAACATTTTTCTATCAGTATAATTAATCTCAGTGACCGAGTTCTTTCGGTATCCGAGGTAGTCACCGTCCCAAACACTACTGTGAATTCCACTGGTAGATTTGGTGCTGGTTGATGATGCTGATGTAGCTGTGTTCAGGACAGATTCAGCTCTTTTGAGGGAGAGTATACACCACTAACCACTGAAATTTAAGATAAAGGTGACCAAAAGGTGTCCCAATAATAGTGGTTTGGTTAGTGATGGTTTCTATAGGGACTTTAAGTTGGCTGACTATGTGAAAACGATTGATTTTTTATCACATTTCTGTTGGGATAATTTATTTTTAGAAAAATCACTAAATCAAATTGTGTATATTTTTTATGATATAATTTACTTAACTGTAGAGTTATTTATTCCCCCAAAAAGGTATTCAAAACGTAGATTTCCTTCTTGATTTTCACCAGAATTGAAGGACCTGATAGTTGAGACCTGTTCACTAAATATATACAAATCCATCTGCAAAATCGCTACATGGAATGTAAGAAGTATGTATGAACCTGGGAAACTGAGGAATATACAGCAAGAGATAATACGACTGGAGATCGATATATTAGGAATCAGTGATATTAGGGACGCGTAATGGTATGGAATTGATTGAAGCCAAACCTGCATGAGAAAGGTTGCCAGGTCATATTTTATTTCTTCAGTAGATTGAGAATAATGGATATATATCAACAAATAGATTTTTGTTCAAAATTTATAATTGAACAAAATTTATCATTACATATTTTTTAGAAGATCGATATAATATTTCAGTAAATTAGTAAATTGAAGTAGATCTACTGAAAAATCAGTAGACCTAGTAACCCTGCGAGAGGTAGTAATGGTCAATGTACAGGCACCAAACATGGCGGACACATCGTAACTAGTTTTACTTTTCGATGGTTTATTAAATGAGTGTTACATGTCCTCTTTTTTCCTTAGTGGTGATTCAAGTTGTCGTTTTTGAATGCTGCTTCTTCTAAGTGTGCTAGTTCTCTAGCTTGTTGACTATCATGTTGCAGATTTATGAACAACTTGGAGATACATAGTTTAGTAACTGTTGAACATTGAAATTTAACTTGCTTAATGAGAGGCCTTTTGTCAATCGGTACTTGCAAGAGATCTGGCAGAAGGGCAGAGTTGTTGCCAGTTCGAGTGGGTTTCATAGATAGCTTACTAAACTCTTCTATGATACCTCCAGTTGTTTTCTTGTAAAACAAGGCTAAAGGTTTGTCCTGTTAAAAATTTTACCCTTGCATGCTCTGTATTTTCTTATGCTTTTCTTAAAGTATGGAGCAAGTGTTTGAAAGTCTAAAAAATGGTCATTTTCAATCTGTATACAGCCTGTATACAGGCATACAATAGTTTTTCTGCTTTGGACCGTCCTGTATTAAGACCTTCAATTTAAAGATATAATATTCTACTTTAAAAACTGGGCTATCATGCATTTCTAAATCGAGTATAGTTGTAGCATAATACTCCGCCCAGAAAATGAATTAATTCCTAAGATTTTAAGTATAAGTCTCTTCATATCGACTATGACATTTACAAGTTTAACCCATAGATAAAGGTTTCTTAGAATACAAGGGGTGAAGGGATTAATCTAATGACTATTCTGAGAATTTTCATTCCCAGTTTTGTTTTATAGTTGGAAAAACTATGATTTAAAAATAGACTACTAAATTATTTTTTATTTTTAGATAAGTTTAGTATTTTACTCTTATATTAATTTTGTACCAAACTATTTATTGATTATTCCTATCAGATTGGATAATTGCCAACAAACCGCTGATTTTTAAAATAACTGAATTTAGATCACAAACTTGTAAAAATATCTTGTCATGTTGATACCAATTATTGACGACCTGATTTAGTATACGGCAGGTATTTTAGTATAAACTAAAAGTCTCTTTTACTAAACGAACCTTTTATCTCTTCGCTGATACGTCTCTGTCATTGTAACACGTCTCCTCCCTGAAGGCTTTTTAACTATGATATATACGCCGCGAACGAAGGGCAAGAGTCGTATGGGGTGGGTCCCTAAATGCTGATCATCGGGGAGAAATAGTGTCTTCATTCTTTATTAGGGGTTATATCACCAATATTGGTGGTGTAATTACTGCATCAAATTGATCGCTGAGAAATTCAATAAGGCAGAAACTTTTATGTCTTTAGTGTGGAGGTTGGATAGTTTGGGGAAGGGTATAATTTTTATAATTTTATGATTCAATTAAATCATATATACCTATCCTATTCCCAATATGTAAGTGATAAAGGAACAGAATGGTATTTATTTGTTCTACAAAGAAAAAAGTAGTATTTGGTAAATAATTCCAACATCAAAAATTAAATTCAGATTCATTGAGAATAGAATTTGCCATGTTACTCTCCTTTAAAAGCCGGGTTGCCAAGAGCATGTCATCATCCGAATCGTCGTCTGATATGTCACTGATTTTAGCGTGATCGTCACTCCTTTCTTCCTCACTTTCAATAATTATTTCTTTCTCATCCAGACTTCTAGGTTTGTCCCATTCATCCCTATTATCATCACTGTCAGGAAAAAGAGAATGCCCTAAACACAAGGTATCATCAATGATATCTTGTGTTTAGGGCTAAAGAACTATTGTACCTATCATCAATTTATCACAATTTCAATTTAGTACCTTTTTTAACACTAAAATGAACTGATCATACACAGAAACATGCTAAATATTATGTACTTACTATTATAATTGATGATTTTTTTAGCGTCTGCCACGACGTATTTACTTACAACAAAAGTCTGACTAACTCATTTCAATCGAGAAGTATGCCACGGCGCAAGTTTTGACGTATAATAGATGCTTCACACGGGCGATACGTAGGAGCAGAATAACTGCGTTTGCCGTCGAATGCGAAAAATAATTTGTTGAACCGTAGTCACAGTATATTGCTTTATAAAGAATTCTTTAGCAATATAATGTGTCGTATCATATATGATACC